TTGTATTTGTGTACTTTTGTGTATGTATAATCTATTTATAAAAGAACTTTCAATATTCATCATGTTCAGTAGAGTAACTTTATCAAATACTAACGGCAATTATTTTTGCACTCCACTGTATCTCGAAATTTCGATAGGAATTTCTCGTTTCTTTATACGTGTCATTTGTTTTTACAATACGATTCAAATCCGTTATAAAAATATAATAAAATCATTTGTATGATTTAGGAAATTGTGTGTTATCTATACCGATTATACATTCTGGAAATAGATCTTCGTACATATTATGATTAACTATAAATGTGTATCTAAATTGTCTTAATAAATCATGGCAACAATTTTAGACAAAAGCGAATTTTTCGATTGTTTCTAGAACAAATAAAATTTGAAAAAAAAAGAGTAAACTTGATCATGTAAGAGTATCAAATCGATGATACTACATTCGTAACGGAGAAACTCATTTACATTAATACAATCAAGATTCTATACATTTTTTAATAATGAAAACGGCAATATGATGTATATTGATTATCAACCTAACACACAATACTCTCATGCATTATTGTTTCTTATTGGGCATTAATGGAAGAAATGCGAACATTTTTATTAATTTATGAGTAGAATTTTCTCTTTTGATTCTAAATTTACAATAATTAAAACTGCCGGTTAACTGTGGCTCTTTTTCGTAATATATTTTTAAACCTTACTGGATGAATATTTTTAAACTCTTAGAAAATTGTTGGATTTCAGTAAAAAGCACATTTTCATGCATTTGTAAACTCACTGAAGCCGTCAATACTAGCTACATTGGTTAATTTTGCTTAGTTGACAAGTGTGGGTGTGGGGTGGGGGTGATCTATTTTAATCAATCGTTGCAGCCACACCCACACCCACTAAGAGTGTTCATTATGCGTTGTTTTATTTTTTCTTGAACATACGTTCATGATCCTTGGACTCTATCCATTCTTCATAAGCTTTATGGGCGTCTTCTGTCTTTTGCATTTGTGCTTGTGCTTCTTGCTTTCGCCTTTCTCGTTCTGCTTGTTGCATTGATCGGCGAGTGTCGATCAGTTCTTGATCTTTCTTTTGTTTCCATTCTTCAAATCCACGAGCAGCATCTTCTTTACGTTTTCGTTTGGCCATTTCCCATTGATCGGCAGTTGAACTCTTCCGAGTGGATATTCTTGTTGGTGTGATCACATCAGTTCTCAAGGATATTTTAATTGTCTCTTCTAGATTGAAAGGAACTGTTTCAATGATGATTTCACCACTACGCAAATTTGTGTTGATTTCTGTTTCGATTTTATGCAAACTGGAAATTAATATTGACTCATTGTTGCCACTAAGAACATGGTTTTGTTCTGCATGTCTTATTCCTTGTGTTGCTTGTTTTCGAATGGCATTGAATAAATTCCATTCTTTTGCTGCTTCACGAAACAGTTGTTTTTCATATCGTTTCATTTCGCTGTTGATTTCGGCTCGTTTACGCTCATAAATTTGGTCAATATATATATGAGCATTCACTCGCCATTGTTCGAGTTCATCAAATGGATCTTTTTCACTTGATTTCCAAGCACGCAATTGCTTAAATTGTTTACGAATTTTGTCTATCTCTATTTGTATCACACTCATGGATAGTTTTTGATAAATAATGACAACGTGTATATACTTATGTAAAACAAGAACATTGTCTTTTGAAAGATAAAAAGGAAAGCATGAGTCGATATAAACTTTTTGTTTTATTACCTTCGTCAAGTGTATTGACATGGCATATCTATAACGCATATGCTAACGGCTCTTTTTGATTTTTTTTATTACTGCTTTCCCTTGTTCTCCTTCATTTTTTTTCACAGTACTGAAATAGATCAGATATGAATGTCAATGGAATGACGACCTACCCCTAAAACCATACCAACGTCGAACTCTTAGAATCATTGTGCACTCCTCACTTAAGAATCGAATACTCGGGGATGAACATCGAAGTGTTTGTGTTTTCGAAATCTTCGAATGGTGAAGGATTTGCAATTGTCAAAATGTGATAGATATCTTCATAGATTGTTGCAATCGAATATCCTAACGAATGTTAACGCTACTTGCACGTGATAATTAGAATGAAATGAGAACGTAAAATAATAAAATAAACAAGAATAGAAAGTTTAATAAGTATTAGAAAACACCTATACTCCAGATACAGCAACGGAACCCGAAACTGACACCTCTAACCTAAAGCTAACTTAAACTATGATATCTCTCATATTAGAGTTCTATTATTGTATTTCAAATCTTAACTGAATCAAATTATAAACAGTTATGGTAAATCATAAACAGTTCTTATTCAGTATTGCTGATAAGTGGTCCTCGAGCAATTTTCTTGAGTGCACAATTCTTATTATCAAAATAATAGTATGTCAACATCTTCGAATATACATGAGATGGAAAACGTTTTCGTTATCTGATCAATAGACTTCTTCTTTTCCTTCACTTCCGCTGAAGTTTCTTTTTTTTTTCATTTTCATCAATGTTTTGTTTTGAATCAATTTTTCCAAGTGTTCTTTGCTTTGGCTATTTAGTCGACGATAACTGACTTCAAAAGCTAGATCAAAGACAATTATTGTTCTTTTGATAGAAAAAAAAAGTAATTTGATTTTCATTTAAATAATTTTTGTTCTTTACATTAAAACACTTAACAATTTAGATTATATCTAGTTTCAAAATAGACTAAATTTTCACCGGAAAAAAGTCATTATACATCAATAGATAAGGTCTCATACCAAAGATTGGAAAAATTGCTTTGAGATCAATTTAAAATGACTAGAAAAACAATAGCTATTGACTTGGGTACATCATATTCATGTGTAGCTGTATTTCAACATGGAAAAGTTGATATCATTCCTAATGAGCAAGACAATAAAATTACATCATCGTATGTTGCATTCACTGATACTGGACGTTTGATTGATGATTCAACTAAAGATCAAGCAACTCAAAATCTAAATAATACTATATTTGATGTCAAACGACTTATTAGTCGTAAATATGATGATCTAAATGTTCAAGCTGATATAAAACATTGACCGTTTAAAATAAATAATGATTGTAATAAACCAAAGATTATAATTGAATATAAAAATCTGATGAAACTCTTTACCCCTGAAGAAATATCTTCAATGATATTAACAAAAATGAAACAAATAACAGAAACTTTTCTTAATAAAAAAAAGTTTCTGATGCTGTTATTATTGTTCCAGCTTATTTCAATGATTCACAACGTCAAGCGACAAAAGATGCTGCTATCATTGCTGGTCTTTATGTATTACGTATTATTAATGAACCAACAGCAGCTACTATTGCTTATGGTTTAGATAAAAAAGTTTTAGTTGAAAGAAATATTCTTATTTTTGATTTGGGTTGTAGAACCTTAAATGTATCAATTCTCAAAACTGAGGAAGGTATATAGGAAGTTAATTCAATCGCTGGTAATACACATTTAGGTGGTGAGGACTTTGTTAATCAAATGATGCTACATTTTGTTGAAGAATTTAAACGTAAGCTTGGAAAAAATTTATCAAAAAATAAACGTGGTCTGGTCTTCAATGATTACGTACAGCATGTGAAGATGCTAAAGTAAAATCACTTCTAGATAAAATACTTTAATTGATGTTTGTTTTTAGCTTACATTATATTCATCATATCAAGCATCTGTCGAAATTGATTCTCTGCATGATGGTATTGATTTCTATTCAAAAATAACTCGTATTCATTTTGAAGAACTGAATGATGATTTATTTCGTTTAACACTTGAACCTGGTGAAAAAGGTTTACGTGATGCTAAAATGGATAAATTACAGATACATGAAGTTATACTTATTGGTGATTCAAGACGCATTCCAATAGTAAAACAACTTTTACAAGATTTCTGTAATAGTAAAGAGCTTTATAGATCAATCAATTCAGATGAAGCTGTTGCATATAGCGCTGCAATTCAGGCAGCTATATTAGCAGGTAATCGATCGGAAGATATGAAAGATATAATTTTACTTGATGCTGCAACATTTTCATTGGTAAGCTAAACTAAAGAAAAACATCTCTTATAAATTTTGTTCTTATAATCTTTTAAAAGGGCATTGAAACAGCTGATAGTGTAATGACACCACTAATTAAATGCAATATAACTATTCCAACAAAACATACATAAATATTTACAACAAATTCAGATAATCAATCTGAGGTAACTATTAATGTATTTGAAGGTGAATATGCAACGACAAAAGATAATAATTTACTTAGTTATTTTCAACTGACTGGTATTTCACCAGCACCACGTGGTGGTTCACAAATTGAAGTTACATTTGATATTGATACAAATGGTATATTAAATGTGTCAGCGATAGATAAAAGTTCTGGAATAAAAAATAAAATTACAATTACAAATGATAAAGGACATGTATCAAAAGATGAAATTGAATATATGATTGCTAAAGCTGAAATATATAAAAAAGAAGATGAAGAAGAACATGATCGGATTGAAGATGATAAATTAGTAAATAAAATTAATACTGATGATAAGAAGAGAATGAGTTATGTCATTAAAGACACATGAAAATGGATGAAAACAAATCCTATAAGATCTATTTCATTTTTTTATATCTTTTCTTCGTTATGTTCTTTTAGTTTGCTAAAAAAAGAAGAATCGGATAATAAATTAAAAGAAGTTGAAAAAATGTATTTGTCAATCACTAGAAAAGATAATTGATCTTAAAGAATACGAAAAAATAGATAACATTTTTCTTCTTGTAATACTTTTCATTTGCCTGACTAAAATAATATCCTAATTCATTTACGTGAAAACTTTGATTAAGTTTCTGTCCTCATATTTTCTCTCTCAAATGAATATAATATCGTTCTAATGTATGTTTTTTTTTCTATTGAATCGCTTTGTTGAATGGTTAATAGAAGCTATGGTAGAATGGTTAAGAATGAAATAACGAGTAAACTGATCTTAATACCTAATTCACTTTCGATTTCAATTTAAAATTTCTTCAAAATATCACCTTTATCTAAACGATGAATTTATCATTATATATTTCAGTTATCAGTCCTTTCTAAAAAGCATGCCGAGATAATAACATCGATTTTGCCAAACGTTGTTTGCAAAGAATGTTAATCAAATAGAATTCAATGGATTTACTGCACTTCATGTAGTCGCATTTCAAGGACATGTAGAAATAGTTGAGTTATTGCAAAAAAAATGGTGTGTCTCATTCTGTAAAGAGATAAAGATGATTGTACTCCGATTGATAAAGCTAGAACTGATAAAATAAAAAAAATGATTCGTCATCAAATGAATGTTATTCGTTTCTTCAGTGATACTATCGAATGGATTATTTCAACAACTAATAAAGATTATCAACTACATCAATATTTATCAAAATTGGAAACATAGGACAAAGAATCGGATTTTCAAAAATTGGCTCTTCATATAAAAGAAAATTATCTTGAAAGAGATTTAAAAAATGTTAATGATATCATTATAATACGAAAAATATTTTGAGATCACAATCATCAAAAACGATCCAATTCATTTATTAAAAGCATGTATAATTGATACTGACTTTTTATTCTATACTTAATCTTCATCTATCACAATTGAATCTTAAAAATTTGACTAATAAAGAAAATCTTAGTATAATATATTATATTGGGATAATAGCTCGACATCTAAAATTAGAAAGATTATCATTTACTGAATTAGTACATGGTTCTATGATCATTACTAATGACAATCTAGAACAACTCAAAGTATGTACACGAGTTTTAACTAAAACATTTTTATTAACATCAAAACAATCAAATAAAGCATTAAACTATGTTTATAACTATAAATACCATAAAGACAATCGATTAACTACGATATGTCAATATGAAATACGTTATCGAAGAACTACATTAGATGTTCATTCTATATCAATATTTAAAAGTAAGCAAGACGTACAAATTATTCCATATTCAACATTTTAAAATAATTTCCGTTATATATTAAATAATAAATGCGGAAACTTCGGATTTAAATCCGAGAGTTATGTGTACTTCAAAAAGTGAATCATACAAATCAATCATCCTAGACTATCTGAATATCAAAATTATACTGGCAAATATA